GTGCACTGAGACAGGGATCCCTGGAAGAAGAGCAGGCGGTCATGTAATTGGAGTTGGCATCAGGTCCAAATGATCAAAACATGGTGAGTCTGTGTAAGTACAGGAGCACACTGTATGAAGAACTGCATGGGGCACACAGTGTAGCACTAACTTGTTCTCTGCATTTAACCAATGAGAGCATAAGAATGAAATATAGGCTCCCTTTACAAGATAGTCATACAGATTTCTGAAATTCTGTTGTGGTGTTGGTTTGTTTTCCTTTTGTTTTTTTTCTCCTAAGCATATACTAAGCATATGAATGTTAACTCAATCTTTTAACCTCCCTATGACACATTCTCTTCCCAGATCAAAAAGGACCAGAAAGCAATGCATTGTTCTCACAACTCGTGTGACCAATAAAAGCTCAATACAAAAGTGCAGCCAGAGAAACTGAAGTCATATTTAGCCCTGCACAATGAAATATATCAGTCCTCACAAATCTTGCTGAAGCATAACAGGCACAGCATTACAGGCTGGGTGAAGATGGAAGAGACACCAGGGTCTATCTGATCCCAGCCCTGCTCACACAGGGACACCTAGAGCAGGGTGCCATGGCCCATTCCCAGACAACTCAGCTCTGCAAGACACCCAACATAGTGCTAAACCATCACTCTTAAATTGCCACATTTTCTCATTATAGGCCTACGTTCTGTAGTTACTGTAGGTACTTCTGATGGGAGGACAAGCATGCAACTACTATTTCCGTGTCCTCAGAGACTGAAGACTGCATCACTGCAGACAGAGTAGCAAATGATCTGCCTACTCTATGAAAGCTATCAAAGTTGGAAAAAAAAGCGTGAGCAAAAGACCAATTAACCTATGTTTGCATAAAGGGATAGAATAGCTAGGGAAAAAACAATGTACTTAGAGTGAGATTTTGTTATTATCCATAAAATTTTAAGACTTATCTTGTTACTCTGAAGTGCACCAGAAACACTCTATTACAATCATTAATTATTTAAGCCCTTCTACAACTGACCAAACCCTTCACAAACGTGCCAAACAAGCAAAGCCAATTCACAGATTGACACAAAATCACCTCCTCACCGAGGCCATGAATCAACACGTATATTAAACTAAAAAGAGAGACTGGAATGACCATGGATAAACACATTCCAAGCATATTTTTTTCAGCTGGAAACTGACCCACATTTGGCTTGAATTAAAGATCCATCACAGTGAAACAAGTAACTAAATGGAAAGATATGAGTCCCTTTGAAGAGCGTGCAAATCAAATTTGGGTGATAATTAGCAGCAGACAATTGAAACCTACTGTTTATTTGCACAGAACCTGACATTTCTGAACAACTCCTTGAATGGACACACAGGCAGCTGAGTATTCTCTGTTTTCCAGCTCCCAGCCCCCTTTTTTTTCTTTTTTGAAGCTTTCACAGGTGACTCAGTCAACTCAACAGCTCAAAGCTACTGCCATCTTTTTAAGATCTTTTTTTTCTTCCCCCAAGAAGCAAACAAAAATCCTTCTTCAACTGTTGTAAGAACAACTGACCTTTAAACACTTATGTCTACTGCTTCTCCACTTCCCGTCCAAACACACACAAACCCAGCATTTCAAGTCAGTAACAGTCTTTGGACTGCAGACAAATGCAACTACCTTTTGCCTATAACATGTTGAGGTTCCTTTAACCTGATCTCCCCTTTTGTGACAGCGTTAATTCCAACCTTCAGACTTGCATCCTTGCAGTGACTGGACCCTAGGATCAGAAGTACAAGAGGTGGAACTGTCATAAAATTGCAATTAGCAACTTTCATTCTGAAATGAGCATGGCAGACAAATGAGTACATAAACAAAATTCCCAAGTTTTCACTGTCTGCAAACATCATTCCCTAACATCTATGTTAATATTTACTCCTACTAAGCCAGGCAGGTAAGAAAGAACATTCCTTGACCTTATTTGGGGTAGATGCTAAACACACCTTCACCTTCAGCAGAAGTCTTTCTGTGCTAGCCTTTCTACAAATTCCAGGTGAATTCTCCCAGTAACACACATAAGGAAAATGGGAGTACAGACAAATAGTTACAACTGTTTGTATGACCATGCTTGATCACATGGGTCTGAAAAAACAACCACAACAAAACAAACCTAATCTCTGACAGGACACTACTACAAGAACTGGTAAAAGTAACTTTAAACTACTGGTACTTGAGGATCCTTTTTTATTTTGTAGTTTGAGATTTGACTGCCAAAGGATAAAATAATAAATCAAGAGCTCCTCTTCAGGCTTCCACAAATTCAATATGGTGTAATTAAAAAACAGTTCTTCAACTCCCTGGGGAAACACTGAAGAGTGAGTTCTCAGACTGGCTGTCAAAGAATCAAGTTTCCCCCGTAATCAGGGAAGAGTAAAATAATGCATTCTCAAAAGCTGAACACTAGTTATCACAAGTGTCAGTAGGTCGTAGACATCTTCATTGAAAACCCAGAATTTACCTTTCACTGTATGAGAGTTCTCTTTTCCATCAATAAGGGAAATGCAACCTCGCAGAGGGAAAAAAAAAAAAACAACAAACAGAAACAACTAAAAACCAATAAAAAACAGCACAGTAGCAAGTAGCTTCCACATCTTTCTTATTTCTTGTAAGAAGTACATTGCCAATGACAATCACTACTCACTATGATGAAAACACCTCAGTGTTTTAGTCTACTCACAGTTCTTAGTAACCCTCCTGCTGCATTTAACACCAGACCTTGCAGATCAGGCACGTTCCTTCACAACTGCCTTTCAGATTGTGTTGGGTCCATTCTTGAAACAGTTACAACATGCAAGCCTACATCCAAGTACAATACTCATTACATTATTAAATTCATTTTTTACCTATGACATTCAGGTATTTTCACAGAAACCTAAGGAGGAAAAATATGCTGTGACCAATAATTTTAAATGATGTATTAACTCCATGACCTAATACAGCAGTGGATACAACCCTGTGCAAGTTCCAGAACATAAAAAACATCCAGTGTTTTGAAAACAAAAAAAAAATCACATTTAACCATTTACATTCCAGAGCTGCCCACAAAATCCATCTCCCACACTTTCCTACCTGCCTGTGTTTTTCCCAAACTCTGGAGCCTGCTCTCCTTCAGATTCACCTAAAATTTATGCATAGAGGTTTCTTTATGCAGAGTCCCTCATTCCCAAGCACTCTGTATCTAATCTTTTGCAGACGCAGAGTTTTTATTTGCCCCTGTTGAATAGAGTTTTCCAAATCTCCTGCTTCCTAATTAATTACACCTTCAAAGGAAGGTGACATTGGTTAACCTTAGTGATAATCACCACTTTTTGTGATATTAACCACACTTTTATTCTGTTTGCCATTTATCAGCATTAGGTATACCTGGCAATATTTAGCTGAAAAGAACTACAGCAGTTTTCCAATCGTTCTGCTCCTGGCATAAAGGATACGCATAACGCATGCATTGTCCCAAGCAAGCTTAAAAAAAGAGGGGAAAAAAAGGTCTATTAGATGATTAAAATAAATACATTTAGCTTCTATGTATTAATGCATTTTGAAATATTTAGAATATTAGCCCCTTCAGTTCAAAACAATCACTGATGCCAAATTGGGCTGATTGAGAGAGTAAGGTTTTCTATTTTAGAACAGTGTAGTAATTATTAAAAGTAATGATGTCTAGAGAGAAAAAAAGCAATCTACTTAATAGGAACACATTTTTTTTGATCACCACTCTAATTCCATTAACCATATGATACTGTCTACCCAGGTGCTGAGATGTTAACCACTGTAGAGTCTGGAAGTCCTTGCATCACACTCCACTGAAGGAAAAAACAAATTTTGTGGATTTGTTTAAGAAAAGAAATATCCTCATAGTCCTTAACAGAAAAGCTTTCTTCCACCCATTTCAACAGACTGTGGGTTAAGGTCTCAAGCACTAGATTTCTAGAAAGGCAATGTCAGAGGCCTGCACTGCATCTCTCCAGAGACAGTTGAGCTGTGTGAGGACAAAACTGTCTTAGGAAATTAACTGGAATGAAAAACCATTATATGGACAAGCTGTAATATCAACAAATGCATGGCAACTCATACAGCCAAGAGTTCAGCACAGTTCTGAAAGTTTGGCCCCTCGCATGACTGCATCATGCAGTGAAAAGCTCTGCAGACATAAAAGTTAGCTGAAGTATTAAAAGCCATTAAGATGCACGTGCATGGACTAACTTTGCTTCCCCTTTTCCCCTTCCAAGCACCAAATTCCAAAGTTGCTGTCATTCCATTCATTTAACATAGTTACAATTTACCTCAAATGGGAACATTTCATTTTCCACAGATTCATTAAAAAAAAGAGGAAAAATGGAGTACACTCCTGCAGTACAGAAGTCAGAGGACGACACTGCAGAGACCTGGTAAGCTGCAGATGCTGGCACACACCTTAACAAAGCTACACATTACACTAAGAGTACATTAGAGAAGGGCCTTACATTCTGAACTAGCTTCTCTACTTGTAAAACACTTCTCACGCTGTGTGCTACCCCAACCCCCTCTGAAATATGCTTGGCATTACAATAGGACGATTTTATAATTTTCTTCCCACTGTATGAACTTCATCTTTTTCTGCCCTAGTACAGCAAGACTGCTCAAATTTGCTTGTTTATCTGTTGCACATAGTTATTATGGATACTTCTTTTAAAACTTCTTAAATCAGACACGCATGATCTCACATGCTCAACAACCTTCAGAAATTCTGCCTTGAAGGAAGGAATAAACACAAGTTGCTTACCCCCTCACCCCAAAACTATTATTAAAAGGCAACTAAAACACACCATGCTCTGCTAACAAAAAGATAATCTGAAGTGACCGTGAGCTGTATAGTCAACTGTACATCCAATGTCTCACAGTCCAAAAGGCTTGCCTTGTAATTTTATGTGGATATGCCAAAGAGGAAAAAAAAAAAATACAACACATTTAGCCATCCTAACCCAAATAGAGATTAAAATAACAGATAGTTGATTTTATTCATTTTGTTACTGACTGAATCCATGTGAGAAGCTTTCAAAATGCAAGTTTATTTTGTCTTGTTGACAAAATAACTGAATATTAACCATAAAGACTTCTACCTTGCAACTGGCAGGCCCTAATCCACGATGAGAGGTGGTGTACTTCACCAATCCTTCATTTTCATAGCCTCCAAATATAAAGTGTTGAAGTTCCAAGCATAAGAGCTTTACTAGATCAGAATCTCAGCACATTTTCTGAAAAATTCAATCACAGTAAGAAGTCATTACCCCTCTAGAAGTAGGAAGAAGCATTACATCATCAGCAATTAAAGTATCTTCTTCTCACAGCCAAAATAAAGAAATGGGAAATACTGCCAACATGGATGAGATGGCTGGTTGACAAACACAAACTCTTTTTCTAGTATCTCCCCGAGGTATCAGGAAGATGATACCTCTATTTTGTGACAACAGACAGGAGAAGGAGAGCGTCTCTCAGCAACCTCATCATGGTAAGATTTATAACGACAACATAGCAGGATCACTGTCAATCCTGTTATTCTGGTATGAGTATTACTGTATGTAATGCTGTATGCTATGCCAGAAGAACCAAGCCTCAGTAGCGTATGCTCAAAAGTTTCATAGAGTATGAAGAGTTGGCCTATATAGTATTATATAATACAGAAATTTTTAAAAGCACGGAAGTAGGAATATTTTGCAACCACATTACTAAAAACTGAGAGCAACCCTCTTTTGGAAATGTAAATATTCAACTTAGTTAAATCAAGACAATCACAGATACGCATTTTTCCCAAATCTTTGGCTGTATTGCAATGGTTGTTTCAATTTGTAATCTCCAACTAAACATTTCCTATCCATGGATTAACAATATATTTACTGACTTGTGTCTTTTAACAGTATTTATCCAACATAACAAAATAAACTGCAATTTGTTATACTTTTTTTTTTTTTTACAAAACATTTTATAAATATTTTTACAAAATGTATACAAAGCAATTTCAAGTGAGACATACTTTACAAATGAAGGTATTTAAGCAAATAAAGTCCATACCACACTGACAATAAGTGACACATCCTCTTTAAGTGAAGTCAGTCTGTAAGGCCTCCCTAATCTAACAGATAAATTATACTAAAATCTTCAAAATGAACATCTTTTTCTTAATTGCCAGTTTAAAATTTGTTTTAATATTAGGCAGTATTAAATAACATTGAGAACACAATGTTGATCCAGCAAAATAGTGAAAACATGTTTAAAGTCATGCACATTCACAATACTTTGCTGGATTCGAGTCCATATGATTAATCTAGACTTCTTAAATAAAAAAAAAAAAAAGTACAATTCTTTCATTTCCTGCTTCATAACGTACCAGAATTCCTTTAGAACTGAATTCAAAGGAGTGAACAACAGAACATGATCAATCTAACATCTACCTTGAATTCGTTCAATGGGCTCCTCTCATAAGTAGTTCAGGGAAATGTGTCTGACCAGATCAACAATCATTACCTTTTGCAATTTGTCATTTTTAATGTCATTGCCCCCCACCCCAGAATAAGATCCAATAGAAGACATACAGCCTGATATACACCAATTGCGTATTTGCTGTACAGACGCTGTATCCATTCTGAGGTGGCACAAAAAGCAAACGTATCAACAAATGTGCAACTTTTTTTCCCCTCTACAAAAGAATTAACTAGTTAGCACACAGCTGCGTAACTTACTGGCTTTCTTCTCAAATCGTTTAGAACAGTTAAATTTCCAAAATCATCAAGTACATACGCATCAGAATACACAGCCATGAGTATTATTAAATCTAAAAAGGCAACAGGTGAAGACTATATCATCAGTTTCACCCGTAATAGAACAAATCACTGCCTGAGAGTCTATTCTATGGACACTTAGCTAAAAATTTAAAACTGGCAATGCTCGTTATTACTTTGAATATTTTATACAACACACGGGAATGTTGGGTTTAACAAACATGTACTTTAAAATTGGCACAATTCTTTAAAATGGCAACTAGTAACATTTAAAAAAAAAAAAAAAAAAAACCAACAGCATTTCCATCCACTTCAAAGGGAAAATGAATTTTAAACAAGTTCATCTTTCTCATGTTGCTTTCGAGATTTGGTTTCCTTTAGCGGTCAGACAGTGGATTGTAGCTCAATACTGAGTTGCACTGTAATCTTTCACTGTCACAAGGACATAATTCTGCTTTCCTCTACGCTATTCAGGTGGACTGAACTGCATGACAACAAAACTCTACCTTTTGTCTTCCTTCCTGGAAATCTAACTGACAACCACAGTTTGTCACAATGAGCCTCGAGGTTATGAAGACTGTAATTATTAAGTCTGGAAAATGATTGGTAATTTCTAAGAAACTGGAGGGGAAGTCTGGGGAGAACATAAGCACATCTTAGAAATCACAAAAGCTGTATCCTCCTGAGCAGACATATGTACTACCTGCACGAGACTAATGCCAGCGTATTTATGTGCACAAAAGCACTCATGACCAAGGTAAACTATGAAAAAGCAGCATGGGCAGCAAAAAAAAAAAAAAAAAAAAGAGAGACATCATAGATTAAAATAAATAAATAAAATAATAAGATTCTATCTTACCAACATGACAGCAAGCCAAATGCAAACCATGCAATAGTTTCACTTGGCTCTACAATATGAATTAATAATTACACACTTTTAGATATGTTTTAACAATGGGACTGCTGATCAACTTTGGTCTGTACATATCTTGATAATTATGACTGCTACAGTGGATGCTTCAACATTCTCTGATAGCAAAATTAAAAAAAAAAATCAAAAGTAAACACTGGCCTTAAATTTTTTTCTGAGTAAGGCTAATGTCCTCTTAAAATATAAGCTACAAATATCTTAACAGCTTTCAAATAAAAGTGCTTTTGACACTTGGTCTAAAAATTAAAAAAAAAAAAATTAAAATCAAAGAAAAAAATAAAAAAATTATACCACTTCAGAAAGACTCAAGGCTGACTACATCCAATTATAAAACGCAATAGCTCTTGAAGAAGAGTTAATATATATGTAATATATATATAAATTCATGGCTCTATCATGGCCTCAACCTGTACACAAGAAGCCATTTACTGGCTTCCAATCTACCTTCCTTAGTCAAGCATTTATTACTTCATATCATGCCACTGTGACTAAGACCATATAATATCATCTCACAGACTAAACTTACCCACTACAAATATATCAAGGACTAGTTTCTGCTCAAAAAGCAATAGAAAAGCACTTTAAGTTCAACTCATGAAATCTTGTTAACACAGTGATGACATCCTTCCAACTTAAGACTCCTAGAACACAGATTCCATTACAAAGCAAATCATCACTTCTGAATAGAGGTACAGTGGGTTTTCCAGAACAACTTAAAAATCTTCTGTGGATTTGGGGAAAAGGGTAGGGGAGAATTGTTGCTTCCATCGCTTTTTAAAAAACGTTTTCTTAATAAATATATCCTTTCAAATGACTGTGATTGTCAGTATATTACCATATTACATAGGGCCTAACGGCCTGCAACCTTGTTATGCTGCAGGACTGCACAATTATCAAAAGCACTATCATAATAATACTTGAAATAGTAAGGCCCTAACAGACTGCATTCTAACAAGGATTAACTTTACTTGGCTATCTCACTGTAACCACAATGAGTATTGCTCTCAAACACAGAACAGAATCTAGTTTAGAAAGGTTAACCTTAAATGTATGTCAGGCTGTACTTGTGGTGTCATTCACATTTGCTTCTGCTAAGAGAAACATAACTTTTCCAGGGTATTGTAACTATTAACACTCTAAGATACTATTTACAGCTGCTTCTAAAATAGAGTCAGTTTCTACACCTTCACTGTGGTCTGGAATAAATTTTTCCAAGCAGTTTTCCTGTGAAGCAAGAGGTGAAAAATTAGGAAATTCTAAGTCAACAGAGCCACTACTCGATGCCTCATTTTGTGTCGGTCTCCCAGTTTTTTTAAGTTCCAAGATATTCTTAAATGTCGTTTCTAAACTCTTACTCAGCAGTAAGTCTTGCTGGGGTTCACTGGAGCCTTTCATGTTATCAGGATGTAAAACCTCATTCTTTGGAGGGCTCCTCAGAGTTTTGTCTTTGAAGGAATTATTACATGTTACCTTTGAGAAAGATTGGACTGTATTCCTTGGTATTTTATTGTGTGTTCCATGACTGCCTCTTGATACAGTTTTTGACAAGTCTTCAGAACTCAAAGAATTCTCAGCTGACTTGGTAAGAACTTTACCAGCCATCTTTTCTTCAGGAAGGGCCTTGTATTGGCTCCCAGAAGAACAATTAGCTTTCTCAAACTTTAAAGCTTTAATGAGGCTTTCCGATTTTTTAGTAGTTCCTTCTTGTGATGTCAAAACGTTGTTAGGCACTAGAGGAAGTTTACTGTGATTTGTGGACTCTGCTGAGCTGAATTTTGGTCGGTCTCTGGTTTGGGTTTTGGTAGTCTGACTTCGAGAAGGTAATGCTTTGCTGGACTGATGGTCACTTTTGCTGGTCTGTGCTTCATCAGCTGTTTTATCAAATTGTTTGGCAGAACAACAAAAATCAGCCTGATAACCATCTGAAAAATTAAGCAGCAACATTTTATTTTAGCTACGTTTACTAAAACCACGTTCAACTATTTAGCATATGTTTACAAAATAATTGTTCAGGTTTTTCTTAGTATTCAAATTTAGGTAACATCTACAGTCTAGCAATTCATGTCTTTAAGAAATATGCATATGCTTAAGAGTAGGAACTTATCACCAAATTAAGCAGCATAGTATGCAGATAATGTGCACAGCAAAACCATACTAAAAGCGCTGTATCTAAATATTCTAATATGCTATCAGAAAGACTACTATTTCAGTCCTCTACATTGCACTACCATACTCCCTCTGAATAGTTTTTAAAACAGCTAACAATCAGTGCCTCACTGTAGATAGAGATATTTTTTAACTGATGATGCTATGCAAACATGCTTAAGACTCAGAAGCTAACCATCACTTACCAGGATCCACTAGTGCAAGGCGCTTCTCCCGGGTCAGAGATGCTCTTTCTTCCTGGTTAAACATCCTATCAATCATAACCATTTCTGCAGATGGATTTATCCGCTGCAGAAAAAGGAAAAAAAAAAAAAACACCTCTGAAGTCACTCATATATTTGTACTAAATTAAAACACTTATAGTTTAGTTACTTTTCAATGGCTTACATATACGTGTGAAAATCATCCATAATTCCATAGCATCTTCAATGATCCTTACAATGACCACAACTTTTAAAATTCAACAATGAAGTATTACAGAATCACAGAATTGTAGGGGTTTAAATTTAACAACTAGAATCACTATAGTAGTTGTAAGTATCACAGCTTTTCACAACTGAATACATTTTTTACCACTGTTTTTCTTAGAAAACAGAACATGCAGTAATTTTCAGAAGAAAAAAAAAAAAAAAACAGCAAAAATCTTGCAATTGAGATCACCACACGATCTTGTTTCTCCTCTTCACTTCTCTCCCAGAAGTACTGGTATTTTCAAGTAGTTTATACTGAGTTGCATTTTGCAGTCCATGCCTTCATGCCAGTGGATGCATCCATCACAGAAAAAAAGCTCACTGGCTATTAAGTCACAACACAGGTAACTTATTCCAAACTTAAGCATTCTTCTGGGTAACTTCATTCCAAAATGACTGAACTGGATGTATCATACAATATTCCAGATGCTAGAAGAACAGATTTTCACCTCTATCTCTCTTCCACTGCAATTACTTGCAAATGTATATGGATGGTAACTATCTTTTAAACAGGACTGCCAGATTCCAAAGCCGTGTTAGTTGTGACACTTCTATTATGCAATCCTGTCTTACTATGCATTCCTGTTCCTAACTGAATCTGATCTGAATTTTTTGTACTCTAATTTTGAATTTTTTTCAGACTTGAATACTATTGTGTCTGAAGCCACAATGAGATCGCCTGATACTTCCAAAATACATTCAAGTAACTGTGCAAGTTGGATTTCTTTTTACCTCAAACCTGGGATTGTGAAAGCATTTCAATTAGTAGTATTTCTGACAAAAATAGGAAACTCCACCCAGTTTCTAAGGAGAAGTAACAATTTCCTACATTAAAATGAGCCACCAGTGTGCCCTTGTGGCCAAGAAGGCCAATGGTACCTGGGGTTGATGAACATGGCCAGAAGGTCAAGTGAGGTTCTCCCCCTCTACTCTATTCTGGTGAGACCATATTTGGAGTTCTGAGCTCCTCAGTTCAGAAAAGACAGAACTTCTAGTGACAGCCCAGCAGAGGGCTGCAAATATAATTAGGGGCCTGGAGCATCTCCCCGATCAGGAAAGGCTGAGAGACCTGGGACCACTCAGTCTGGAGAAGGGAAGACGGAGAAGACCTTATCACTGGTGATAAATGACTCCCACCCACTAGATAAGTGGATGGCACCAGGCTCCTTATATAGTTGTCCACTGGAAGCACAGCCTGTTCAGAGCAAGTGCAAAGTATAAACAAACAGCAGAAGTTAATGTGCCCTTAACATCTACTGAATTTACAAATGAACAGCAGCCTTTGGCAGTGTGTTAAATGAACTCAACGTAAATCACTGATTTTAAGATACAAGTCTATACTGAAAAATCCAAGCTGGTCACTGAGATAGCTGGTACAATAGTAAACTTCACATATACGTGTATATATACTTCTTCATATACACACACATAATGATATATCATTAAAGAGAATAAACAAAATTAACTATAATGCCAGCTCTCACCTTCCTGTGTTATTTTTACAAACTCAGTCACATTATATAAACATTTCTTCTATCTGCATTATGCTCCTTACCATTGCATCTTCTATAAGTAAACATCTGTATTTGTTCAGCATAGCTTGTGTCCTCTTCAATAGCTGTGTAGCTACAGATTCAAACTCACTGTCCACTAGAAAGACAAGAACATACTTTCAAACGCTGTACTTCAGTAACTTGCACAAACTTTAAAACGTTTCCTTTCTAATTGCTCTAAATTGCACAAAGAATTCTCTCAATACATTAATTACAACCCCAATGCCAATTTAAAAGATGGAAATTACCTTTTTTTAAGTCTTCCTCAGTCGGCAGCGACCCCTGACACACATGATATGAAAGGAGTCTCTGAAACACATCATTTAATGATCTGAACTGACTTTTATCTGGTGTCACAGCTTGCATCTGATCCTTCTGTAACTGCTGTAGCATACTGCAATGGAAATTGGTATCTACAATTAGCACATAATCTAACCAAAGTTTATACACTACCAAAAACTAAAGGGAGATGAAAGTTGGAGAAAATATCTGTAATAAAATTACAAAAGAAGCCAATGACTTACAAAGCTCCTTTAGTTAACTGTTTAGCAGCAGGTCGTTTCTGTCCAACTAAATGACCATCCACCTAAGTCCAAAGTAAGAGACAAATTATAGCACATCCCTTCTTTTGCAGAGCTCACATTTCAGCATTTATTTTTGGCAGCTAAGTGTACCAATACTAAGTGCAATCACCAAGCAAGTATGAACACATTTAACCATCTCATGTTTTCACAAGGCACATTAACAGTGAAATATGGAAGTCAGTCCTCTTACATCACAATCTTGTTTACAGGCAAATTCAACTGCAGTGCTTATACATTCTTCACCAGGAAAAAGGCTGGTTATTACCAAATTTAGCAGGTGAAAAGGTTTCTTTTCTTTTGAAAATAAAGCTACTCTCAGGAACTGTCTTCCCCATGTCATCCTGCCTGATACTGATGGATTAAAGTATCTGTCAGGGAAGTAGGCTAAGGCTGCATATGTACATTTTCAAAAGCCTGGTATTTGGCTGTGGGCTGAAAGCCCTGCATTTTTTTCAGTGTTAACAATCCACATATAACCATCAGATCTGTGTCTTCTGCATTCCTTACCTTACTAATGATTTATGAAATCATTTTGCAGCAGAATGCTGTCCTAAAATACGTGGTTCTCTAAGGTAGTAGAGACTCAAGTTCCGATTATACAAGAGGCATTACTCAATCCAAATCTTCTGAATAAGTTATTGTGAATCCAAGGGCTTTTTTGTTTAATACAAACTGTTGGTTTTTTTTTCCAAGACACTGCCAACTGGTCTAACAAAATCAGTCACAGAGGAAAAAGCTACTTTTGATTTTAAAACAGATTGAGTGAAAGCTGTTTTAAGTACAGAACATCCTCCTTACCAAAGCAGGAATGGCATGAAGCAGGCAAACTGCAACAGTGCTTGGTACCTTCATTGCACAGAAAGCATTCACCTTCACATGAGAAAGCAAATCTGACCAATAATTAAAAAACCAAGCTGAACTCATAACTGAGCACTACTTCATACCCTGTACAAATGTATTTCAGTCAGCACAGTTACAGCAGCGAAGAGAAATTGTAAATCAGGTCCTTCCCCTTTTTTTTCCCCCTGTGATTTTGTAATTTAGCTCCATCCACAGCTAAACTTGCAGCTCCTAGCCTAATTCAAGCCCTCACCTCCTATCCTCAATTGCTCAGTCTGGGAATGTAACAATTGTACCCTCCCTCGCAACTTACTTGTATTCTATAAAAACTGGCTTCCCCATCCAGCCCCAAACCCTGAAGCACTGTTAAATCTTTTGTACATAATTCTCACACAGGAAAACTTTTGGTGGGAAACAAACACATGCTGAGGAAAGAAGACAATGCCGTAAGAATTAAAGGCTAGATGGAATTTTCTTCCTCCTTCTCATAAACCATCCCCACCCAAACACGTACACAATAGCTGAGTTTACAAGAAGTAACAGTATTGCCTAACTCATCTTCAACTAAATCAAAGAACTGTGATGTCTTATCAAATTATCTTCAGGAAGCAACAAACTCCACTAAGCAAGGACATCTCAAAACAGCATTTTCAGAATATCAACTGGCAAAATACTCCATGTTTGCTACGTCAACTTCACTGAAACTTGAAGGGAAACATATAAGTGAAAGTCTTCTCTACCTGTATACACTGAACTGAAGATGATCCTACTCCTTTTTCTTGTGATGTTCCAAGAGATTGCTGTATGATTTTTCCTCCAGAGTCCTGCCCTATAAAAAATACATTAAAGAGACTGTAATGCTAAGCAAGAACAGAACCATTTAATGTACCTATCCCAATCATTCTAGTTGAGTTTTTGTCTTTTAGGTGAAAGACGCCTCACAAGTTTAAAAACACTGATAGAACTACCCTGGGGACAGACTGGCACCTAAAAATAGAACAGGACTGATACTCTGTGCTGCAAACTACAGGAAGCCTAGAATATAAGGATTTCCTATCACACCACTGCAACACACCAAGAATTTCAAGTACCGTAAGTACAGTGTCCCAAAAATTACTGAAAAAAAAAATCACAGTACATTTTACACTTTTCCATATTCTTCAACTATCTAACTTCACTGAACTTTTCTGTAACTTATTCATACTGTCACAAGAGAAGATACAAAAATTTCAGACAATTCTGTAGCTGACGTCTGTATTTCTCCAAGTTGCAAAAAAGAATAGAAGACAGTTCAGTTCCGTTGGATTTTATAAAGGGAAAACTAATTCTCTACAGACCAGATTCACCTTTTCGAAAAGCACACACTGAACACTGAAAAATTTTGTTTGCAGTCTCCTAAAAAAAAACAAACATTCCAATTACCTCTATAAACACGAGCCAGCAATGCAAGTCTGACACTGTGAAAAAGAATCTATTGCTGCTGCAAAAAAAAACAACAACCTGACAACAGAATGATTTTTAAAAGACCATGGTTGACCTGATAGGGTGTTGCTCAGAAGACTTGACAGCTGATGTTGTCTCAAATTATCTTGAGCCTTTGACGCAGAAACTGGTGATGTCTGGTTCATACCTTTCTTCTGTGGCACATGCATTAAAAATAAAAATAAAAAGCTGAAGTATTTACTGAAAGCTTTAACAAAGAGGAAAAGAGCAAGAACAGGCAAATGCAGCACTGTGCATCCTCCCTCAGCCTCAAGCTCGGCACTGGTGAAGTCTCACCTTGACTTCTTCCACTGAGTTCAAGAACTGCGTACAGTAAATTAGAGAGGAATGGAAACTCCACCAACAGTACAAATACACAGAGGGTACATTCTGGATGCCCTGTGATTCACCCTGACTCAAACTAAAAGCAGCCTTCAGGTAGCTCAGCTTTTGAGAGTCTCAAAGATGCAAAGTCTCAAGAAAAACACTCAATAGAACAAACTCCACGGTGTTCAGCAACTGAATGATACTGACCTTATGATACCGTACAACATTTAGGACTTAAGTACAAACTAGCTAAGGAGATTCTGGGAAGCAGTAGAATCTGTTCCCTATAGTTAAGACCACACTGGCCGCTTTTTGGTTCCAAAATTTTACCTGAAAAATATATTCTTTTACAGCAATAAGGAATTCTATGATTTTGTAACTGCTGAAACTCACTGGCCTCAAAATGCATCCTACAAATACAAAAATAGAGACATATGAAGAGAAAGTCAGTGTTCAAATTACTCATCTGCAAACAAAACATTACAATCTGTGCCAGCAGTTTTAGTGAAGAGTGAAAATTTGGTCCTACACGTTTGCCTTTATTTTCTAAATAAAGCCACAATATTACATTGCCTGTTTTGGTCTCGGTTAGCAAAAAAGCATGAGACCTTTGGGAAAAGAGAAAAAACAACAGTAATTGGTGCAATTCCATTCTGAGATGATAGCTATCAGTATTTTATAATGACTAAAGAGAAAAAAAAAACAAACTAGACTAAAACAAAGCAATAAAAAGCAGAGTTAATTGTTAGTTGCTAATGATGTTAGATGCTAACGAGTGCAATACTGACATGCTTTGGAAACTCATTTATGAAAGCAGATAACTTAAGCTGAATATAAACTACAGCTGCATCAACTGGACACTTCCCACCCTAAAGGCACATTTAGAACTTTTAAAATTACTTAATAGGCCTCTTCCTAGAGATATTTTTTACAAGCTAAACTTCTACAAACTGCTTTAGAAAGTATTTCCTCCTAAGGACTTTGAGAAACACCTTTCACCTTTTCTTTGACTGCTTCAAATTTGAAAGTTTCTAACTGCTCCAGATCCAAAAGAACTACAAGCACGCAAAATGCCAGAAAGATTAATGGTAAGCAGTTGAGAAAATACCACTATGAATCACCACTAAAAACTTCTGAATTAACAGAAGCAACAGGCTCATTCACTCAGTGACAAACTTCAGAAAATACTGAGTGAAACAACACATCTGGGTTACAGTGATTTTCAGCAGTTACACAACATTTGTAATACTACAGCCTAACAAAGCCTACTTCCTCCATATTCACAATTTTAATACTTCATTAACAAGATTTTAGCACAGTTTAGAATCATTTCTTCAGCTGTATTCTGAAGCAGTTTGCTTACCTGACTGAAGGCGAACTGTTGCTGTGTTACTCCAACTGACGTGTGACTAAAGGTGCTGATGGATTTGGAAGAGGATGCTGGAAGACGATGTGATGAACTGACAGGAACTTGAGTCCTGCTCTGTGCGAGCTGATCTCCAGTAAAGTTTCCTCCAGATGCAACAGACTGAACTGAAGGTCCCAAGCTAGGATGTACCGAACCAGAAGAACTTACAACAGCGAATCGATTAGAAGCTGACATATTTGAGACTGTAGACTGCCCAGGTGACATTGTCGTAAAACTCGATCTACCTTGAGAAGCATTAGCTTGACTGGGTGACAAATGCAACACTGTCGGTGATGCCTGCTGCAGTGGCACCTGTCCACCAACAATTTGTGAAGTTCCATGATTTACTATAACTTGGTTTCCAGGAGCTGTGAAGGTCTGGCCAGAAACAAGTTGAACAGCTGTGTTCTGATTATTCAGCATCTGTCCAGAATACGACTGGTTGGCTCTCAGCATGTTTGTAGAGTTCCTGTTGAGCATTACATGCTCGGCAGACACTTGGCTAGGAACCAACTGGGAAGGCTGCGTCTGAAGAAGCTGTCCATTTATGGCCTGGACATGATGAACTGAGTTTGAATTAACAGACAAACTTGTAGGTATGAGAAACTGATTTTGAGGTGCGTGAGGCTGTCCCATAGGAGAATGGATAACAATACTACCTCCAGCATTACTAACTGTCTGAGGTGTAACTGATTTTCTTGTATTTTGTTGATTAACGATGTTAACAGACATATGAGGACCAACTACTGAACTTTGAGGTGAGCTTGCAGAAGCAAACGGAATCCCTTGCTGCACGTGATGTTGCTGTATTCCCAAGTTGTTCACATTGTAAGCAGACTGCTGACCCATCTGGACAGGCTTTGGTTGGATATTAATGGGTACTTTGTTAGAGTTTGGCGCTAAACCCCTTTGAATTATGATATTATGGACAGGTACAGATGTCTGAAAATTTGTGCTGTTAAACGGAACTGTTACAGGTTGTGCTACAGGACTTGTATTTGAGTTCCCAAACAGTGAGTTACCATTTGGAGTTTGTCTATGAACCAAGAGGCTACTGCTCATGTTTGCAGGTGTCTGCTGACCATTACCCTTCAGTATTATCTGAGATCCATCGAGGTTATTAATGGTCATCATGGAAGGCTGATTACTAAATGAACCAATCAGCTGTATCTGCCCTGAACCACTAATCTGGTTGCTATTAGACAAATGCTGGCTGGGAACACTAATTCCGACATGTTGCATAAAGCCATGTTGCACGCCGACTGTATTGCTTGCAAAAGATGTTCCGACAGGTTGCTGTACCACTTGAGTAACTCCTACAGGTTGCAACGTCTGACCTGAGTAATTAGAAACATTAGAAGCCTGAGTAAAGGATGCTGATGAAGAAGGATGAAGCTGAGCTTGTGCAAACTGTTGACTAGAACCTACACTGGCATCCAAATATGCCTCTTCTGCCAAAGTCTGTTCAGTAATATTGGCCTCCTGCAAGGACTTCTGAAGAATATCAAAAGGTTGATCCTCACTAAGATCAGGTAAAGGAGAAGACACAAGTTCATCTTCAAGAAATTGAAGGCTACTGGACAGCTGCAGTCCATCACTAGGCCCCTCTCCAAGCTGATTGCTTACACCTTTTACAGACGACTTAGGATCAGTGTTCTGAAATGAAATACAATAAAATAAATCCTTTTCAGAAATTCTCAACCGTTTCCCCATTAAGCCTTTTCACCCAAACAAACTGCCATACTACAATCATACAGTGCAAATTAGCAGCCATTTCACAACATTAAGGGTGTTAAGTCTTTGTCTCAAAGAGTTTTAGAAATAAGAGTAAGAAAAACAACGCTACAGATTTTGTGTTTTATGTCTTCAGAAAAGATTACAGAGAAGAACTGCCACTAAAACTACAGCAAATATTAAGTAGCATGTTAAATTAAAAATGCTTCTAATGTACCTCTGTAAATACTGTAAAAGAAATCAGATCCAACTAGCCTACTGTACTTTGGTCTACTGTCAAGTTTTCCTTAAAATAAGTAAATAAATAAATAAATAAAAATAAAAAACACCATAATATGCCCAGAATCTCTTAGCAACACAAATGTCAGGTTCTTAAGGGAGGGTAGGAATGACAAATTTAAATAGCTATTAAAGACTTGCAATTGTTATAAGTTAGATAAGAGTACACCTTCCTAAATCCAAAATCACATCACAACTTTTGAAAAAACATCCAATTTCTTCTTAGATCAGGATTGCATAACGTGGGTGGAGAAATTATCAGTTGCCTTCATATTCTGAGCTTTCACTCCTTAAATGTCACAAACATTTGTTTTCACCCCATATAAACAAGTGAAGACACCATAAGCTGTAATTATCACATGCAACCATGTCCCCACCCTAAATATTTAAGCATATTCAGAATTTTAACCCAACCTGCTTCTGAAACGGCCTGTATATTTTACGAAACTTCAGCCATGTTATAAAATATTGAATGTATTAGAAGTTAATAAAATATTTGTATGTCTTTAAATACGTATAAAAACGTATAAAAACACACAATTTTATTAACATATACGTTTATTAAAAGAATTAAATCAGTACTTAAATGTCTTGATGTCTCCACTGTACCTAACTACCATCAGGCAGAGCAAAAAGTACTCATTATATAGGGCTCTACTGGAACTCAGGACCCCCAGATTCCTGGGCAGAATTCCTTACTGCATCTGTAAATTGTCTCCAATTAATACTGTTACCATTAGTACTAACAATACAGCAACTAATAATAACAACAGCAATTGTAATAATAAATAATAATATTGTACGCAATCAAGACAAAGAGCTTGAAACTTTCCCTCTGAAATGAAAAATATTGAGATTCACTCCCTGCTCCCCGGACTGGTTAACATCCAGACACAATTTTACCTACGCAAACTGGAAACGTATTCCTAATCACTGCTGCCATGATTTGAACAGCCAACCAGAGCATTATGCTATTTTCAACAAGAAATCAGTGCCTCTGCAATTTTATAAATCTGTTTCAATGACAGTCTTACTCTCACTGGCCTCATGCACATTCTGCTCTCAAACTGTTCCACTGTACCTAGCAGGAAAGTGACAGAAGTCATTGGACACAACCCAGGCAATGACTGTGGAACTCTCCCATGAGAGATGTAACAGAAACTGATGACAGCCAGGAAACAAACCTGTAATCAGTGGAGAATCACTTTGAGGGGAAGTAAGGAGAAAAAAGAAAATGAAAAAAAAAAAGCAGACACTGCCTTCTCTCCCTAAAGTCACCGTGAATTTCATCTTGTTTGTGTTAAATGCTGGCTGTGCATGCTTACCAGCTGGGGCACTGAACCCTTGACACTGAATTTGTAAATTCTGCCACTGAAAGGCATTACATTGCATCAACACAGACAATCCTACTTCATGACAGCAATTCTGAATACATACAAAACCAGAATCTTCAGTACATGCAAGAATTTTAACAACAAAAGGAAGTCAGAAATCCTCAACTTTTCAGGTGTCTTAAGTAATATGCAGGGCCTGTGAATCCAACCACCAGTGGGATTTGTATGGAATACCAGCATCATCTTTCCTTCCCTCCTCTCCTTGGGTAGAAACCATGTGCTGACTTGAGTGAAAAATGATTTGTTTGTGAGGATGGATGAAAAAGTGCCTTGCAAAGGCACAAGAGGTAACCAGAATACAAAACCAACTCAAAATTACTACCAAAAATCTCAGCTTCTGAAATACACCAAGAATTACCCCAACTTCTGCCTATCTTTTCATGTCTATCAGAAGATGTCTGCAAAGAACAACTAGAAAATCTACGCTATGACAAATATATGTCATATATCATCTTTTTTCCCCCACAGCCTCATCTTTCTTAGCATGCCACAATACAACAGAAAGAGCAATTAACAAGAAAACCATACTGCATATGTTAAAAAAGCTGAATGTGGGGATGAGTATGTGATAATAAAACAAAGAAACAGCAACAACAATAATCAACTAATGAAATACAAGAAATATGGGTTAGAAGGAAACCACCGAGTCCAGCCTCCTACTCAAGGGAGTCTACTGCCAACACTAGATCAGATCAGCCTTGGCCGTATCTCCAAGTACATGAAGCCCACAACATCACTGAGTAAAACGTGATCCAGTGCAGCAACACTCCTAGCACAAGGAATACTGGAGGGTTGGAACTAGGTTATCTTTAAGGTCATCTCCAATCCAAGCCATTCTATGAGATATGATTCTGTGACTACTTACAACACCTAATGAATTTCAAGTGAATTCTCTAACAGTGAAATTACAGTAAGAAAACATCCCCAGCTAGCTACTCAGTGTAAAGAACAAAAAAATAACATGAATTGAACTTCATAATTGCTAGCTCAGATTTTACTTAGAAATAAGGTACGAAAATATCCTACAATTCACAGAAAATGTATAAATAATACATTTAGATGCAGAAATAATACATCAGACATAGAACAGATCTACCACATCTACGATCAATAAACTTACATGCCCAATTCACTGAATAGTTACAGCAGAGAACATTTTCACTGCTCAGCAAGTGGCTTTGGAAAATTTGCAAAAAAAAAGGCCTAGTAGTGCTAATGTCTTTTGATTCAGTCACTACTGAAAACCCAACAGAAATACTTGAGCAGCGTGAGGTGGTTCTACAAGAACATTCAGAATTTTCATGTGGAAAAGGTCAAAGCCCAAATTTACTTAATTCACTTTTTAAGAGCCAAATAAAGCTGCAACAAAAGCATGCAGTTTCAAAAACCAACATTTCTCTCCTGACCACTTACATTGGAGTTGGCGAAAATGGAATTTGAGTTGGCTACAGAATATTCTGCATTTGTCAAGTCTTCGTTGCTCTGGTAAAAAACAAAATCATGTTTAGAAACAATACACTCAGTAAAGGTTTTGTATATCGCACACACAGGAAATGCTACTTACAGATTTATTACTAGGTCCATGCAGAAAATAATTCAGTGCCTGCGGGTCCCTTAAAAAAAAGAAAGAAAGAAAGAAAAAAGTTACTACTTCAGGCAACTCTTTCTGCTAATGAGGTGAATTTAACTGAGTCAGACACTTAACTCACACAAATCAGGTTTGTTTCACTGACCCCAGTGCACAGTTCAAAGTGTATACCATTTGGGGCTCCTTGTTTCTTTATCAGAATGATTTGCAGATACTGATCAGATTTACTGTCATTGCACAAAGACATTCCAAACAATCGACCACATTCATCACAAAATCTGAGTTACACTATTCTTTTTATGAGAGCATTACCTTCATTCTCTCAAAACACAGCATTTCACAACCTACAAAACCTAAAGAAAATACTGCAACCAAGTAACACGAGAACTAAAACAGCCACCATCTCCTCTACTGAGGTTAATTATTATGCCTGCTCAGCTACTGTTTAAGTCAATAAGGTTTGGTGTTTTTTTTTTTACCACGTCAAATCTTTTAATGTGTTTTCTGACACATTAACAAAAAGCTTTTGTTTTTTTGCCAAAGTAAAAAGCTGCACCAAGTGAAATCAACCACGCAGATAACTGAATGAATGTTACAAAAAACAATTTCAGTGCATTTCATGAACTTGGCACTATCACTGAACAGAACTCAGATTTAAAACATGGTCTAACAGAATGAGTGTTGGAAATTCAAATAATTTAAAAATACTTAAATATAATTGCACAGTAGACCTCATAAAAAGCATTAAAAATGTGCTACAAGTGATTATTTTAAGTTATTATAAATCATTTCCCAACGTGTCCATTAGCCTAAAGAGCAAAGTGACATAGAGTCTTTTAACTTCAAAACATCTTTATTAATTAAGACGCAATAATAATGTAAAAAAAATTGAGACACAGGAGATCCTCATTGAAAAAAGTTAATCCAAACCATCCCTCCTGTCTCCATCGTCCTAGAAAATAAAAAGGAAACAAGTTAATATATCAGGTTTAACAGTCTTCTAAAAGCACAGAAACACGTCTCTTATTTGGGAAAAAATATACTGCATTCATGCATTTATCAAGTACGTGTTAAAAAGGCAGCATTTGTCAGAGACTTTGTGGTACAATTACATTTACGACACACAAGTAGCTACATATATTGCAAGCAAAAGAATCATTTTCACAGTAGAAATTTCAAGAATTCAGGAGAAAGATCACTGTATGAGCTCACGAGGTCTGTCACACTTATTTTACTGATACATTATCAAGCCATTTAATAGCAACTTTGCTTACTGGCTTTAAGTCATGAAACACACAATTAAAAAGCGAGAATACTTCATCACCTTAAATAATGGCTTTAATAACAAAGGAATTTTAGAAGGCACTTACCAAAAACCAAAGATGCTGCTGTCCATTCTTCTAGACAGTAGAAGAGAACAGTAGACAGCTTACGACAGTAATTGCTGTGAGCACCAGGAAAAATGCTGTAATTTTTCAAATGCTCACATGGATAGAGAGCACTTCATTTTCTGGACCACCTGTGAACTTGTACCAGGATCCTCACAATTCACACTCACGGCTCAGCATTTAATTATCCAATGCAGCCAATTACCATCTTTATGGTAAAGCAGGATGTCTTTTCATTTTTCATAGCTTCAGTCAGTGATCTCGCACAGCACACAACACAGAACGTAACAGTGATCCACTCCAGCCAACACTTTTCTGTAGCATCCACAGAGTAATCCCTAAATTACGGTAGCCACTGCGATAGCATTTTGCTTTGCTCTCAAGTTCTCATCGGTTTTGCAGGAAGTCTTCGCATAAGAAATGTAGAAAAGCTATTTATTTACTACATGTAACATAGTATTAAAAAACAAAATCTTGTATGAAATAGATGCCGCATTTTAATAGCTGTACATGACCAATGCCATACTGATTTTTCATAGTTTGAACAAAAGTACCACATATGAGATGTTTCCTCTCATGCTTTAAATGTATTACAACACATTACCTGTTCTCAAATACTTGATGTAAATGTCAGTCAAGCAAAGGTAACCTGTCATTTATACAACTGACAGGAATCTTGCAATGCAGTAATCTAGTTGTTGTATTATGAGATACTTATATGGACTATATTACTGCAAAAAGATCTGTAATTCATATTTTAGAAAAAAACAAAATCCCCAGCTTGATTAAAATCAGCACCTCTTGAGCAAAACGGTAACAAATCCTTGTTTGCTGTGGATACATTACAGTACCAGGTAGCATTCTAATATTTTCATGCAAACACAAGTTACTAGTAGAAATTAAGGTGTTTTGTTTTTAAAGAAAATTACATAATCTTACCTTTCTCTTTAAAATACAAACACTGTCAACAAATTTTCCAGCTCCACCACTCCAAAAGCTAAAATTCCTTTTTTTTTTAAACCCCCCCAAAAAAGTTCTCTGCAATGAAGTCTGTAACAACATCCCTACTACTGTGCTTCTGCAATGACCCTGTATTACCATTAACTGAAAAGAGACTTCAGCTTCCACGCCCACTCTTTCCTTAGCTGCTCTTGAGAATAATGCCAACAAGTGGAGTGTCATCTAGCACGAAGTGGGACTGAAGGTCATCTTACACATACATCTCCAAGCACAGCTTCATTTCATTTCAACACAGCATAGCTACTCATCTTATTTGCAAATCACCTAGTATTGATATGATACCCAACCTTTCTGAGGAATTACACAGGCAAAACTTACCCAATAAGATCAAGGAGACAGGATTCATCATCATCATCATCCATGACAACTAGAAGGAAAAGGAAGAGGATATATATTCAGCAAACACCAGAGAACATATTATTTTCAACAGCAAAAATATTTTACAATATCTCAATAGTTTTTATCAAACAGTTCATGTGAGTTGACAGACATTTATTATTGCCAGAATTCTTAAGTATTAACAAGCATATTCTACAGAGACCTACACAAATTCACTAAGTTCGTCTCAAAATCAAATTCAGCCACACGCCATGATCTACAAAACTCCATACAATACCATTATTAGGGTTTTTTCATTTTATTGCTGTTGTTTCTTTTTTCTTCATAATGCTCAGCTACTGCTAGTCACAATACACCCAATTTCAGTTTCTCCTTAACAGCACTCAAGAGTGCACTTACATGAACTTGCAATTAATAGTACTGAGTTCTGAGAATTCCTTTAAAAACAGGTGGGCAATTCATTTGCATTAGCCAAACTGAACGTAGGCATCCACTGGGCACAGAGCATTTTTACTCTGACAGCATCCCAGTCACCAACTCTTGTACTCGCTGATTACTCAGATTAGTACTACCTGTAACAAATACGCTCCCTCATTTTTTCCTGATTGCTGTTCCTTTGAAGCTTCCATCTGCACGACCCTGGCTCTCCCATTTACTGTGACTCTCCAAATCTCATCAAAGACTGTAACATCTTCTCTACTTCCTGTCGGTAACTCTCACAATCTCTTTATCTTTCCTTACTCCCTGCAGAGATCCCAGCTAATCAACTGATGATAGCATCTCCTATACCTCTTTATATCTTGGCATCCATTCCGTTATCCAACATCATCCACACAATATCATATAATCAAATCGATTCCTGCCATGCCTGTGTTTTTCTCAGCTCCCCTTAAAATTCTGCCACCATATTTAACACTGAAATTTATAATTCTAGTTAGATTAAAATAAATTGAAGCCAATCTCTTATGTCGAAACAGAAATTTACTCCCCCCCACCAGCTCTACACACATCATTCTGTGGGCTCTCATGACTGTTCACAGTGATTGAAATGAAAGGACCTGTCTCACAGGAGGCTGAAAGCACTGGGACTGTTCCATCAGAAGAACAGAAGGCTCGGGGGCGATCTTAGCAATGGGTAGAAATGCCTGACGGAAGGACATAAGGAAGACAGCCAAATTTCTGTCAGTGGTATCCAGTAGAAGAGGCAAGGGATACAACATGTTTCTATTTAAACTTAAGAAAAAAGTTATTTTCTTGTGAGGTTGTCAAACAGTGGTGCAGGCTGCCCAGTGAGGCTGTGGAGTATTTGCCTCAGAACAAATACAACCCTGCTGATGCAGCCCTGCACAGCCTGCCTCGGCTGGCACTCCTGCCAGCAGGGCATTGGACAAGGCATTCCCAGAGGTCCTTTCCACCTCAACTGCCCCAGTTCTGTTATCTCTTTCTACACCTCAGTGATTTTGAAGCTAGCTTCTAGCTCATACTAACAGAAAATACCCCAGCCCTTACATCATGCAGCCCCATGCTTATTGACTGACAGCATGCAGCAGAGGATCGGTCATGGCAAGGATGCCTCGCTATCTCTGCTCCAACAGAACAGGAAAGCAGACCGTGCCTACAGCCAACTACTTGAAACATTAGAGAAAAATCAGCATTCATGAGCTGACTCTGCATTTTAAGGAAAATACTCTCACCCATGATTCAGTGTCACATCTGCTGGCTGCTGCAAAACAGCAGCATAAACGCTGGTCTTGCAACTGAATGCTAAGCAAATTACAAGACGTTTTATAATGTGGCCAAATTTAAATGCAGATGTGCATTATTAAGAACAAATCAGTAAATGATTAGCATTTTGCTTTAATGGCACTGTTAACATTTCTTACAGGAAGCTATTTCCTTATGCAGCATGTACAGCTCTCAAAAGCAGGTTCCAAAGAATCCTAGCTAAACGAAGGGAGAAGGAGAAAAAAATAAAAAATAAAAACAGGATTTTTTTTCACACTGCACGCCTACTTTTAAAAATCCCATTCCATATCACTATGGTAACACTAACACTGCTACTTGAAATCAGCAAAACTCCTTCACTTCACCAAACCAAACATTCTCTGCGAACATACAGTGAAGGCTTATCATTGTGGGAAGCTCAAGCAATCACACAGAACTTTGTTGAACTGCTATTCCAATGGGTATTATAACTACTAACACAAATGAGATGTATTTGATAAGTTCACCAAACTCTCGAAAACTCACATTTATAAAAATTGCAAGAGGAAAAAATATACAAGAAAATGACAAGGAGAAAAAAATCTTAACAGTAATACATACTTTCTACCCTTCAGCCCTACTGCTAAGCATATAGCTCACCTGATCAGAAAAATGTACTGCTGTTTTTCCTCACTCAATACACAAGAAAAATCTACCCAACTTACTGCAAGCTCCTACCAGTCTACAAGACAATAAAGACAAAAATGAAGAAAACAGATACATTTTTGTCAACTCCATGATTAACAACCAGTCCTGCCAGAAGCACACCTGTCATGTTCTAACAAAATTCTTGCCATCACTCAGAAGATTTCTTACAGCAGCATTCAGTTGAAGAGGCTGCTGCACTCTCAACACCTTGAAAACCACAAATAAACAAAAAAAATACATCACTATCATCTCAACATCCCCCCAGCAAGGGCTGTGTAACACCACATTGATGTGATGCAGGATGGCAGCATGTCTGTGAAATACCACAGGACCAACATGCAGATGGAACTTCATTCACAGGTACGTGGTCTGTGAGGGACAAGTCAAGTTCATAACCAAGCCACACGAGCTCACCACCTATTTAGAATAAATTCTGTTTGCATTTCACGCTGTGTACCCAAGGTCTACCTAAACCACATAACTGTACATTTAATTCTTTTTAACTGATGCCAATTTTCAATGACGATTTGTGTTCTGCTAATTTCAGGACAGCAACACAACAGGTGCACAATCGTAGTAAATTATTGTACAGCTATCCCTTTGGTCTTTCTTTAGAAGAGGGCCACTTGAGCAACACGTGATCTTGACAAAAATCATCATGTAAAAGTGTTAACAGCCTACCCAGTGAAATTTCCTTGATGTGCTTTTTACAGCGTAAACAGTAGAAAAAGCTTATTGCTTTTTCTTTCCAACTATCCTTTTTGTCTTTTTATACCCAAGATACACAAATTCAGTGTGTAACTAGTGCTCATCAGTATTTGTTAACACAGTCGACAAAATTACTGATGCATGAAATGTGTACAACCCACACTACCAAGACAGCATGAAAATATAACACAGTGAGTGAGAACTAAAGGTTGAGAGCTGCACAGCCCAGACCAGCAGCCTGCCAAGCTCCATGTGTGTAACCCAAGGGACACATTAGAGGAAAACATCAGAACCTCAGCAGTCCAAGCATCTAATTTATAAATAAACATACATATACTGGGAGTGATTGACAACATGTAGAGACCATTGGCACAGGGTCATTTCTAGCTTTGGGTCAGCTGGCTGGGGCCTTATGCCATGGGCAGGGGCATGAGGTTTGGCAGGGCCTAGCAGCGTGCCCCAGTGAGAGAGACAGCAGGGGAAAACGTCAGCACAGCCTAATGGGCAGCTGCCAGATGGCACCCTAACACAGATCATTATCATCAGTACAGTTCAACAGTATATTCTAATGTAAACACTCAGTTTTTCAAACTGAGCCCTGCCAGGGCACCCAACTGATTTACCAGGTGCAAATCCTACCTAAGTCACTACCCAACTGATACTCCCTGAAACCTGCCGCATGGTGCCTGGAGAAGGCAACTTGCCTATTTGTAGGTATATCCCTACTAATTGCTAGAAAATAACCAGGCTGCTCTTTATTGCACACTCCCAAACAGATTATAAGAGAGAGCAAAAACCATTATGGTGGCAAGGAACTACCAGCCACGCAGTCCAATCCTTTGAGGCGCTGTAACCCAGCAGCCTGAAAACCTCCATCCTCCTTCCAATAGTCCAAGCTAACTGCAGAACAGACCAACACCGAGCCCTCCTGTGCACCTTCCCCACATCAGCTCCAGGCTTTGAACTGGCACATAAAATTGATCTGATAAAATACACTGATCTGTTTCAGTCTGAATGAGCTTCTTGGCCTGGTTTTGACTTGCCACAAAGCAACCAGAGCACTTGTGAGGCCCAACCTGAAATACTGCGTTCAGTTTTGAACTCTCACTCTAAGACAAACTCAGCAGCGTGCAAACAACACTGGGAAGCACCTAGAGCACAGCACTAGGGAAGTTTGAGGGGAGCATGTTTCCTTAGTCTGGATATCAGGAGGCTAAAGCAGGCACGAACTGCAGTCTTCCAGTTACCTTTGGCAAGAGCCAATGCCTGCAACATGGAAAGCTTAACTGGAAATGAGGAAAAAAGTTCATGAATGAGAAGGTTCGAGCACGACACCTGTGGAATGATCGTCTTTGCCTATATTTCAAGTCACGTGAATCTGACTTCAAAGCTAGCTCTGCTTACAGCAGAGAACTGGACCAGGTAACCTCTTAAGTGGTCCTTTTTTATTATTTATTACAAACTTCATACAAAATTTCACATCTGAAGCAGTAAAATATTATTTTTGGATCTTCTAAAAACCCAGTAGTGGCTACTATCAAAAGGCAACATTTAGAGCAGTAATTCTCAAAAATGTGGTAAGGACAACACTAAAGCTTGGTAAGTAAGTGCATCTATATGTAAACTCACAACTTCTGTGCAACTACACAGTAACAGCTCCTGATTGGCAGCATGAATCCGAGACTCAGCAGGAGTCTTGGAAATCAATGTTTTAAACAAAGCAATGACTTCAGTAGTCACAGTGGAAAAAAAGTCACATGAAGAAGATCACAGCAGCATTAAGACTGATTCCACATTATTTGCAGGGACAAAACACCCGGAGTTTAAGTCCTTCCCTGACTCAAACTTTCACCATAACTGCCAAGCATGGTGCCACTTTTACTCAGCATGCTTCTAAACTAGGAAAAAAAAATGATGCCATTTAACCACGTATCAGGTAATGTGCACCATCTATTCAGCATTCACTTCAGCTTGCTGTGGTGCTGAGACTACCACCTTGAACCCACTGCTGGTTATCATGCAGACTCCTCACACACCAGCCCCTGCGCACACCGAAGAAAAACCAGGGCTGCAGAACCTCGCCTACATTCTCTAGTGTAACAACACAAACCAAACCCTCAGCTAGTTAATACAGCCTCGTTCCTTGCAAATGGAATAGTTTCAGATTGTTCGGAATATTTTCTTCAGTAAGCAAGCATGTTAACCAGTTTAAAAGCTGGTTAAAAACTGTTCATCACATCCATCTCTTCATTTTCAAGATGTTGACTTCTACTCAGAAGATGAAAAACAACACCTATTCTGAGGTACTTCCACTTCCCCTCGGTCAGTGTCAAAATTATGAGCACCAGAATGATGACACACCAGTCAATAAAAGAGTGTAAATATTTCTTCTAAGTGATGGCAAATAAAAAACTCCCTAATTTTAATCAGGCAAAAACGCAGAAGACAACTATTGAAAAGCCATCATTCTAAGACAAAAAAAAGAAAATGAACTTTTAAAGTGTACTTGGTAAAATAAAAGGGCTCAGTTACTCTCCTACAAACCACGCTGCGCTCATATTCTATGATGTGAAATATTTCTTACGTTTTCTCTTCTAGAGTAATCCATGAAAAGCAACTATTGCGCAGTTGCAATATATATATATATATATACTATATATAGACTATACTTCAAAGAGTTCATGAAGGACAAAATTCGGGACCCTAACCCAGCAACACAATGCATTTTGCAAGCGTGAATTATTTTCTGTACTGAAAATCTTTTTCTGTATTGAAAATCTTCATCTTGTGAGATGAACTTACAGTGCCTGAAATTAGCTGTGGAATTCTGAATTTAAAGTATCAGTACTCTCAACGGCTTTCTGTATGTGACAGTATGGGAGGAAATCTGCAATTTCAAACAGAAGAACAATGCGAAACCTCCCTCTGTGGTAAAACTACACCACAAAAATGGGAACTACTTGGGACTCAGATAAAAAACAACCATCACAATGCACGAGCACTACCTCATTTGAAATATGTAACCCATGCAAAAATATGCATCTTCACAGTTTCTGAGATTTGGTAGGTGATGAACATCTGAAAGGACAAGTAGAGTCCATATGTAATAGTTACATACCAGTTCCACAAAAAGAAGGACAAATAAAAAACATACACTAGAGCTCAGACAGCCTACAATAAGCTGCTTATTCATCCCTTAAATTTCATTTTCCACAAACATACCATAAAAAATTAGTCTCAATTTGAGTTTGGCTTTAAGGTATGAAGCTTCCAAAAACTATAGTGATATTTTATTTATAAAAAATAGAAACGTTCACTTCAGTTATTAATAGCACATATGATAGGGAAAGTTAATCCAGCCACAGTCAAGCACTCTATTTGTGAATCCTCAGCGCAGATCTCTAAAATCTCGTTTCCCTTGGATACACAAGTTCAGAATTGAATTCTTTATTTATTCAATACAATATTTTCCTACAAGCTTGTCATGGCAACACCATATCCTGACAATATTTTAACCTGAGAGCTTTCATTCTCAAAATCCCACAGAGAAAACCCAGAATAACTCATAACCTAGAGCACAGGATGCTCACTGAGCCCATTGGATTCACAGGGTTGAACGCCCAGCTCAGCCCACTTCCCCTGCAGAGACCTTCCTATCACCGTGCCACTGCCTGTTTTGGGCTCTATCTTCTAAGCTCTCCATCACGCACAGTTCTTCAGGAACCTCAACACTCCTAAAACATTTTGAAACTACATCAGGAATCAATCATTCCTCAATTTATTGCTTAATTTAATACTTTTCAATGCCGTTCTAGACCATATAGATTTTAAAAACAAAAAACTATGGTATATCTTACTACAGGTGTGATACAACCAAGATAGTACCAGTTGACAATGCATTACTGCCCATAATTGAAAGCTGAACAGAGCTTTCTGTTCTTTTCACTTAATAGGTTTGGGAAATTAACTGAAATTTGAATGATAAACTGACACCTGTAACAAACCCAGCAGAGCACTTCATAACACTGCCCCAAACACCACACAGATCACATCGCCAGTCTTGCACTTGTCAAAGCCAAGGGAGATTCTACCACCTATCTACCAACCTACCAAGATTTTCTGGTAGACAACGTTTCAACAAACTCAAGCTTCAATATCAGGACTTAAAATTCCACATCTAGTTCAAATTCACAGAAACGTTGAGTTCCATCCAAGAGAAGGCAACACATCAGCCCCTATCACAACAATCAGTGAAGCTGACTTCATTTGGAGTGCATTAATGAACTCCCATCTCCACCCTTCCATAATACTACTAATAGAATAGAAATGCTTTTGTATCAAGTTTTGACAGAGATTTGCCCATTCTTTCTTTCCCTTTTGGTGAACACTCCCTCAGTCAAAAGGAAAATCAGAAGAAGCTCTGCAAGTAAAGAAGTTAAAAGAATAAAACTGACAGTCCATATGTGCTGGTTAATAGTCACTTTTTATTTTTTTCCCAACAAATATTCTTCAACCATTCTCCATTAAAACAGAGACACAGCAGATAGTTTTTCCACAATGAAAAAACAGGTAAAAGAACGTTAGAAAATAGAGATTCACGAGTTCATTTAATTACGAGATTTTCTTGAAAAAAATATCAGTTAAGGTCAGTGTTCACACTCCCATATTGATACAAGGGCTTTACCAACACTGTTGCTGTCAGCTTTCCAACTCAAGCAGTTGCAGGTTGCAATGCACATCAGTACAGTTTATGAATTTTGCAGATTTTCCTCTACTGTAAGAAAACAAAGCACGCTTGTTTCTGTAGACAATCTGCATGCCTGTTCTGTGCAGATTATGTCACTATAAAAAAAACTCTACAAGCAGAAGTGGAGTCTATTCCAACAGAACTACTGTAATAAATTATCCCAGCTGTCTGGACAGAATGAACTACAGCATCAGAAAAGCAATTATACCTGAACTGTATCTATTACTTAGGGATGCCACACTTTCGCTCTCCCACTGCTACATGTACATTAAAAAGCACTACCCATTAGACTTACTGTAAGTCTAACACAGCATGAAAAGACACAATCAGTGACCATTAGAGCCACATTATGCATAAAACATAACTGCAGGCTTTTTCCTGAAATTGATGTGGAGTTACACTAGCAGAACTCTGACTTATGCAGCAGGCAATGCCCAATCAGAATAACAATGCGCTCACACCTACCAAGATCTTCAACTCGGGACTGTGCACTTACCTACATTTCTAAGTTTTGTGGGCACAAAAGGGTTTTTGAAGGAAATGCAGCTAATACTGGTACAGCTGGCTTGGTTCTTCTGCTTGTATTTCACCCCCCTCCCAGAGTAATAAAACTAAATATATAAACTATCCTGGAGAAAAAAAAAAAAAAAAAAAAAGAAAGAAAAAAAAAGACACTTTGGCAGGGTGGGAGGACAGGAAAAATTAACTTCTGTAAAGATCACATAATTAGTCAGATAGAGCACAACCACTTCTGTCAAAAGTACACAGCAGTGACCGCACCTAAGGCCACAAACATGCTTCCTATTTTCAACTCAAGAACACTCTAATATCATACTGTGCAAGAGCTCATACTGCAGCCACAGAAAAAACACATCTAGTATGTATCAGCAGCATACTAGTGAACAAGCCACCGTGCACAACTGGACCAGGCTATCAACGCCATGAGCTCCTGCACTCCTCAATCAACACCAGCAAGCTGAGAAGGACAAAAAGTACTACTTGAAACAAAACAAAGCTTTTCATCTCAGATCTGGACAAAGAAACATAGTAGGTATACAGAAATATACTACACCTATTCATTTTAGGTACACCTAATTTCTAGCTGACAAAGATTTCAACTTAAGCATATGTTTAACTTCAATGGAAGCACGTTGGTGCAGTATGTGTATATGCAAGATCTCTTTCACACTGGAAAAATACTCATCGTTTTATCAGATTTCCTCATTAGTTTAAAAAATTTGTGAAAAAACAGACAAAAATCAGCAAATCCCTAGTACTTACTGCAAGACCTTTACTGCATAAAAATATATTTGCACTAAAGAAAAAAAAAAATAGAATCACTTCTATCTTACTCCCAAGGCTGTTAGCAAAGATGCAAAGTAATTGATTCAAGGAAAGGTCAGTGTCATGTATTAAAGATTTCTGAAATAATGAGAGAATACTACACTCCACACATACATTTTAAAGTAATTTATTAAGAGTTTTGGCAGGCAGATCACTAAAAAACTGAGACTTCAACAAAGCTGTCCCCAAGACTTCAGAAGGGAGTTTATACACAGATAACTTCTTTCCAGAGTATTTCAAGCAATAGCAATGTGCGTTTCACTAGAAATGCAAGGTAAAACCCTCCAGGACCAACATGCAAAGGATTGAACCTCAAATGAAAAAATCCTCCCACTTCCTCCAGAAGTGAGCAAGAGGCATGGGAAGCCCTTTTAAAATAACGTTCAGAAAAACATTTAAGTGAGCATTCCACCCACCTTAGTGGGCTCAGCATGAGTTGGTCTGGTAGCATCCCTGCTATTCCTGGATGCAGATGTTGCTGTTAAACCACGAGCACCAACCACATCAGTCAGGACATTTAAAAAAAAGGAATAACAACTTCGGATGAATTAGGCCTTAAGGCCAAACAAAAACGAAACACTGTTATCAAGGAAGTGAGTTGTTTACCCATGCACCAAGCAGTTACTTGCACTTGAATTGTTGCAAACATTTTAACAAGTATTAAAGGTGCTCTACCAATGATTACTTCGCCTCACATGCTGCAATTAAGTACCTAACAAAGGCGAGTTTCCCCTTTAAATGTATCTCATAATTTCTGGCTCTTTCAAACCCTTTTTCCCTGTAAGCCCTGAACACACGTCGTGCCAAGAAACACGCGTTCGATAGGTACAAAAGGCAGCTATGAGGTGATGTTTGGAGCAGAGACCTCTGAGATGAGAGACATGGGTGACAGAGGAGACGGGGGCTGCCCGCAGGAGCCCTCCTTTGTGCCCCCACGGGCACACAACAGCCAACACTCCCTCGCCTCTCCCCCACAGCGCACAGAGGGAGCCTCGTATACCGCTTTCTCAAGCGGAGGAGAAAACCCGAGTCCGGGATACGTCGTGGGGGGCTTCTGTCTGCCCGGGAAGACAACGCTTCCTACACAGACGGCCGACACAAGCGCGGCGGCAACGCCCCAACCGGCTCAACGACAGCAGCGAGGGCCTTAAAATGGCGCCCGTGGGGGAGGAGAATCACCGCGAAACTGCGCAACAAACGCTGGCAGGAAGCCAGACAGCGCCATCTTCCCGGCTCTGCCCCACACCCCCTCGCAGGCACAGCCGCTCGGCACAGGCTGGCAGCGGTGCCCGGCCGCAGCTCCGGCAGCCCTCTGCCCCTCGGCTCGGCGTTAGCGAGCCCGGAGCTGTGCAGGGAGCTGGGAAACAGAATAGGCCTCAGCACCTCCTTCCTTCTCCCGCTGTTATTTAATAGTAATTCTGAATACGTTTAAACGTTCGCCATACGGCTCTGCCGCGCTCTTATATTAATGCGTTACAGCGTTATTATCCGTGAGAGAACGCTGCAGCTGATAGCAGGAGCGCGTGAGGAGCAGAGGCACTGCTGCACCCATCGCCCAGCTCCTCTCCGCGTCCGCCAAAGGTGGTTTTATCCACGAGCACAAAGTATTTACAAAAGCACTGCTGCTCCTAAGGAAAACGGTCCCGATCGCACAAATAAACGCATCTGCCCAGAAGGAAAAAAAGGGCGGCTAGCTCCAGAAATAGACGGTTTATTGTTAGATTTTAAAAGACACAGTACAATATTCTCTCCCTGAAAAGAAAAATAATAATAAAATAAAAAATAAAAATAATAATAAATTGTGAAAAGACGACACCGCGGAGGGCAGCCCCAGCAGGACCTACCGCCCAGGGCTCCGCGCACCCCCAAAAAGCGCCGTGTCCATCGCGGCTGGCAGCGGCAGGTACCCAGCGGGTCGGAGGAAACGGCAAAGCAAGCACCGAACGAATCGAATCGAATCTAGTGGCGGCACCGAAAGCGAGGAAACGAGCGAAAAATAAATCCCCAGAAGGCGCAAAGCTGAGCCACGAGCTGCGAGAAGTGACGGGATTAGGGTGGCGGCGAGCGGCCGGGCAGAGGGACGCATCGAGCCGGGAGGGAAAAAGGGAAAAAAGGAGAGAAAAATCCTTCCCGGCGCCGCGGCCGGCAGCGAGACGGCGCGTCTCCATTTTCCCGAGCAGGAGGAAGAACCGAGTGTTTCACAGACCACAGAGCTTTAGAGAAAAGCAAAGAAACGAGGGGGGAAAAAAAGAGGGAGGAGATTTGAAAAGATTATTTTTCTTTCTCCCTCACACACTCTCTCCATCCCCTCTCTCCCTCACTCTCTCTCTCACACACATTCACACACACACACTCTCCCTCCTCTCCTTTTCCATCCCTCTCTCGATGGCCATCAAGGGGGCGGAAAATTAAAAAAAAAAAAAAAAAAAAAAAGACAACAACAACAACTAATTTTAAACCGGCTCAATCAATGAGTCATTAAAAGAGATTTTTCTTCCCTCCTCTCCTGCATTTGCATGGCATCAGCAAGAAAAAAAAAAAACCCACCCCAAACCTCTCCCCTCTCCGCAGCTATCAGCCTGGACCTGAAACCTTATCTCCCTCAACCTCCCCCCGCGCCTTTATTTTAAGAAACAACTTTTTTTTTTTTCTTTTTTTTTTTTTTTTTCTCCTAAGTGCCCTCGGCAGCCGCCGCCGCCAGCCTCGCCGAAAACAGAGATATATGGTTCATTTCCATGTGAATCCACATCTGCCCGAACAACAGCCGCACCACGCATCCCTCTTCTTCCTCCCGGCCCCTCTGCTCGCTCTCTCCCGATATATATTTATATACATAGCCCCAGAGCCAATAGCTCTCTGGGCTGAAACCTAATATCCTGGTTTTGGCAACTCCTGGCTGTTAATTTGCTCCTCTTTCTTTTCTGTCTGTCTGGAGATAGATTTCCCCCCTCTCTTTTCCCTCCCCGAAGGAAGGGAGGAAGGAGGTTGTGTGTTTTTTTTTTTCCTTGAAATTTTTATCACAAAATTATAATACACTCAAAGGGAAACTCACCGTCATGAAAAAGCAGTGCCTTGTCAACGGGGTTTCTTCGCCATCACATCAGGGGCTGGCAGTGTAAGAGAGAGAGAGGGAGAGCGAGAGAGCGAGCGAGGGAGGGGGGAGCGAGAGAGGGGGAAAGAGAAAGAGAGCGCGAGGAGAGCGGAGCCGCGCCGAGCACAGCCGCGCACACCGCGCCGCGCCGCCCGGCCCGGGCCGCCGCTCCGCTCCGCCGCCAGACAATGCCGCACCGGCGCGGCGGCACACGCAGCCGCCGGGCGGGCATGGTGACTGCTCCGCAGCTCGGCCCGCCGCACGGCAGGCCCTTTAAAAACTTTCGCCGGCTTTCTCCCCTCCACCCCCTCAAGGAACCCGTAGGTCTGGTAGTGTGTACGAGCCTGGGCTGCTTGCTTTCGGTTGCGAGTTGGGGGGGTCTTTTGGGGCACGGAAAATTGGGGGCGGGAAAAAAAAAAAAAAAAGTTCCCTCTGAACCCAGCGCGGACGTTAAGAACCTGGGTGATGTCTGTACTGAGTTTGTAGCAGCGCTGCCAGGGGCAGAGACCACCCCAAAATGAAAGGCGGGGTCACCTTGGAAAAACCAGGATCTGCCCCCGTTCCAGGCTGCAGCCGTACTTCAGGTGTGTCCTGTCACCACCCGCGCCTGGAACAAAGGACGCCGGCTCCGGTAGCTAGACAAAGTTTCGGGTAACTTCCTAGTGGGAGTTCGGAGTTACAGCTCACGGCTCTGACCCCCGCTGCTGCAGCTCTGCAGTCTGCTTTAGTTACAGACATTAATCACGTAGTTTTGTTTAAGGATTTTTGATTGTACAAAGCTTGCTCAACTTTAAATATTCCCTGTATTCATTAAAAATGCAATAAAAAAATCTTCATTCAGATGATCTTACAAGCCCACGTTTTTTGCTTTTTCTCTATTTAAAAACAGATTCTTAGCGTGAAGAAATATATAAGCTTACGATAAGAGATCTCTTCCAAGACCCTCTTCCTACTGGTAATCTTAATTCCCAGGGACTCACAGAGAAGTGGCCCTTTTTTTTTTTTCCTAAAAAACAGAGCTTCATTAAAAGTCCTTAGGGAAAGGATTTGAAGACTTTATTTAGTAACATTCTTCTTAAATAGCCTTACAGCTCAAAAAATACACTTCTAGTTATTAAACACAATGGCACAAAAATGCATGTGGGCAGTGCACTGAGTGGAACTTCTCCAAGAAATGGTTGGGCAGTTGTTTGTTTGTTTTTCTGTTAAAAAGCATATTAAAATTGTTTTTAAATGAAGATCTGGTTATATTATTTGTAAGCAATAGCAATTCATATTATAATACAGGACATAAAGGTTAAGCCTGGTCCTAAACACAAGCTGTAGCCAAGGTGCATGCACATTACTTGTTTACTTGTATGCCCACAACAAAAAGTCTCAGACTGCTGCCTGCATGGGAAGGCTCGGCCTAGCATGCATCCAGCAGGTCCTGCATGCAGCCCAGACAATATGCAGCAGCATACAGCACTGCCTGGTGCATCAGCCAACATACCAGCTGCACATGGAAGGATTGTGAGTGGTCCACAATATGGGAATTGACACTACATGTCGAAGAGTTCAGCACCCTAACTGCTCTTACTTCTGACATGAGCATTAGATAATCAGAAAGGCCAAACTTCAAGGTCTCTAACTTCAGCAAATCTTCCAGTGGCTAAAACTGCTCTGAATGAAAACCTACTTGGTCTCACTGACTTCAGAGAATTTCGTGCAAGAAAGAACCTTTGAACTGGAGGGGTGCCACAATTGTTCTTCTGATTTGGTTCACAAGATAGAACTTAGCTTCAGAAGGACACCACTCTGAAACAGAATATCTGATCAGTGTACTGCCATCCTCCCAGTCCTGCAGAAACCACAAACAGGAAATAAGCAATACAAAGAAGGAGAAGGAGGAAGGAAGACAAATGGTTTTGAATTGATTGCCTTGTCACAGGGAACACACAGAAGCCTATGTAAATTGCTGAAGACTAACATAATTTACACTTATTTTCCCTGAGTGACATTTCAGAGCAGTGCTGGCAATAACCTTACTGAGCAGGGACAGCACAAAAATGTGTAGCTAACGTCTACACAATGAGAAGCTTGAAGCTGTAAGAGTTCTCGGGATCTACACAAGTCAGCCAGCATAAGGATGAAAACCTTTTACATTGCAACTGAGCAGACAAAACCAAAGCAGAACCCATGAGAGCCATCTGTATTCTCTGCAGAAGCAAATCTGCATGTATTTCTGTATTTGCTATATCTGTTCAGAAACAGTTACTAAAAAACACAGATAAAAGACAAGCACTGGATGTGACTTTATTGGTCACAATGAAGTATACACCCTTAAAGCAAAATTAATGTTACCTTCAATACTAAGGAGTTTGAAATCAGTCTTCAGCTGTACCGTACTCGCTTGCTGGTGTCCTACAGAATTTTCCAAGCCACATCTGTAAAGCAGTACTTACTGCCTTTTGTGATGAGGTACGTGTGCTTTTTTTAAGAGGATCACATGATGTTTCTGAACGGAGTCTCATTGCCCCAGGAGCTCCCCCCTCTTCTCACTGCCTTACTGCATTAGAACTGAAGACCCCAATGTGTCAAAATTCCTGTACCCCAAGGTCACCTGCCCAGAGCTGTCCTTCCAACCAGCCCTATTCTCCAAATTACGTGCAGTGCGCATTCAGTTGCTGTCTCTCCATAGTTTCCTCAATCACATTCATTCATTTTCTCATTCATTTTCATGTAGCAGCTTCAGGAGGAGAAAGGGAAAATACGCATGAGAAAAAAGACCAGTGTCAAAAAGGAATAGGAGAAATCTATGGAAGACAGACGTTGGCGTAGTAATTCTTAAGTACCGCTACCAGGAACATCATGTGCACCCGTCACACAACATAATACTTGGATATATTTTGACATCAGCTGTCAAACTGTGACCATGCTATTTAACAACTGCAGCTCTCATAGGTGTGCAAAGACACCAAATCACGTTTGGAGTGAGCTGAGATACAGAGCCCTGAAATGACAGATTGTGTAGAAGAGAAAAGTTGGCTTTGATACAGAGATGAAGAAAATAAAGGAATACAAACCACTTCCCATTCATTCTGCCTTCAGGCTTCTTCAAAGTCAAAAGCCCATTTCTCTTGCTATCTTCACAAGCATTC